AGGGGGGCTACGCTCCTGCCCGGGCTCCGGGCGATCCCCTACGCCGGAGCCGGGACACCCCCAGGGGACTGCAGACCGGGAGCCACCCGCGCCGGAGCCGACGAAAACGAGTAAGGAGCGAGGAGAGGGGAAGGAGAAGCCGTTACGCACCGCTCCCCCTCACACACACACATCGCCAGCGGCAGTGGGAGGGAGCGGGTGTGAGGAGCGGCGGCGACAAGGGGGAGCGGGGAGGAGGGAGAAGCGCTCGGTTTAAAATGAGCCTCGAAATAGGCTGGGGGTAGACGCGAGAAGGAACGTTCCGTAAGTGTTTAATTGTTTATATTCCCTTTTTCCTCAATACGCGAGCCAGTGATCAAAAGGTTGTGTTAACTGGTAACAAATTAAAAGTTTCTTGAGTCCAGGCTCTCTTGCCCACGCCAAAGGGTTCTCGGGAAGCGCGGGCCCATGCAGCGGCCCACGTAGTACCATCGCCCAACAGCTCCCGTGTCACCTGCCATGAAAACACCTGCAGAGTAACACTGCGCCCTGCCAGAGTCCGGCAGAGCTGGGCCACGTACAGCTCCATAAGCAAGAGGCTCATCTCCCAGTTCACATCCTTCCTATGAATTGGGAAGCAGGGCCACCTCCGCCGCAGCTCAGCGTTGTTGGCAATCGGCACTGCACAGGCTGACCACTCTGGTGAGGCAACGTCTCTGCATGGCACAGCACCTTCAGAGCCCCAGTGGGTGCATTACAGGGAGCAGGTGCAGAGGCATGGGATGGGAAGGGATGGGAGAGCCAGGGACTGGAGGTGTGACAAAGGAATCCTGACTGGGAACCAAGAAATTCCATGCAATTCATAGCTGCCTGCCCCTTTGCCAAAACCCATAGCCAAGCAGGAAAAGTTTAACACCCATGCTTGGAGAGCTCCTCACGGAAAGGAAAACGTAAGTGTGCTCTGTGATTTTTAGCGTTCACCAGGTTTTGTTACTGAAACAAGTAAATCACTGAAAACACAACCTCATGATTCCTTTCTAAAGAATTTCAGGCACACTGCTCTGTATGAGAACATACTAGCCTGTATTTTACTGTGCAGCTTTCTCCTGATTTTCAGGCAGGAAGTGTTTCTTTGTGTAGAGCTGACAGTACGAGCTTTGCTCTCAGCTTGTTTCCAACAGCTCAGCCCATTCACATGTCTGAGGTTTGAAAGAAGGTTCTTGATTATTTACTGTTTGGTACATATGCTTGATTATATTGTATTATATCTTCCTGTGATACTCTGTTTTGCTTTTACACTTAGAGTGTTTTTCCTCTCAGACAGCGTGTCTAGAACTGCCCCATAGTAGCTAGGCCAAGTCTTTCACAAGTAGCTCACAGCAACAAGCAGATGTTCCCGCACTATGTAGCAAAACCACTTAATTTCTTCTGCATTGAAAATAGGAGCACCCTAAGTCAACAGCAGACCGCTACAGAGAGCCAACACTTCTGTTACCAGTCAGTTGAGGGCACAGTTTTTCAGTCCATGGTGGTGCTTTCAAAGCAGCTTATGGGAGAGAAAAATCCTATGCCATCTTGCTGCCTTCTAAAGGAACTACAGAGAGTTCTTCTGTTGCATTAGGATTAGATGGAGGTTCAAAAAAATAGACTTTTAACCCTTTCAGACTATGAACTGTAGGCTCAAACACTGCTCTGAAGCACTACCTGAAAGACAAGCGCTTAATATGCATGTTAGGCTAAAAATGCTAGAGCAGAAGAAGGATGACAGAAATTTAATGAGCCACATCTCCTTCACTAAGGCCCAGTGTTCTAGCAGAAGTTGAATAAAATAAAATTGCTTACACCCTCATATTCAGAAAACACGTGTTCCCACATACACAGCAAATATTTTCAAGCATCAATGGAAAATTTCCATCACCTGATTTTCATTCTAATGTTTCTACTTCAGGTTTTGTATTTGTGAGTTTGGATGGCACGAGAGAACACAGTTTCATTTTTGGTCACAGCCTGTTAGTTTTGACATGTTCTTGTGTATTTCGTAATGGTTATCGCTACGGGTTTTCTAACATGCCACATCCAGAACCCTGCATCTTGGGTTAGCTTCAACTACGTAATTACTCTTAAAAAAATAAATCTAAAAATTCCACATTAGAATAATATTTAATTTCCTTCAAAACAAATTTTCTGCTGCTTTTAAATGCGATGTCTACTGCTCTAAACATTGTTTTCAACTTTGAATAGAGAGTTAGTAAACATTCGCTTGTTTTTATTTTTCTCTGGGATACTTGATCCATAGCTACTGAATGCCCAATATGCCTTGTAAAATTTAAAAAGATACATCCATAAAAGTCTAAAACTTCCCTTCTACACATTCGGTTCGTGTTCCTAGTTTCAAACGCTGCCTTGGGTGCTTGATTTCTGCTTTAAGTTAGAGTTTTCCAGTAAAATACAGAGGCAGACACTTTCTAGAGAAAGCATTCATGACGTTCAGAGGTAGTGGGGATATTCCTGCAAGTTAGAACTTTAGTGAAACTGGTATTGTGTTTTTTGAGGAAAAAAATATTCTGTGGTTTAAATGATTCTGTATTACAGACATCAATTAAATGCCTACTTAGGAAGGGACATGGCAACCCTGGTTCTCTTTTCAGCACTCAAGAGTAAGCTATTACTGTAGGAGAAGATGAGGAAATCACATGGTGGTTCACATGTGGTGTAAGAGGAGACTAAATGTAACACCAGTGGCCTGTCTGATGCAAGATGATCTTTGATGGACGCTTCCAGATGCACCCAAGACCTTGGTGGTAACAGCACCCTTTTCATTGCATTCTGTTTTCAGTGTTGCACGTGCCATTATGTTGATTTGCATTTTATATATATATATGAAGACTTTTAATATTTTTCTCCTTTCACATGTTTTGGCAAGTTCCTTTATGAGATTCTATTTTGTTTATGCACAAATAGTCTGCAAAACAGACAAATATTTCATAATTTTACTTTTAGACATCTAATGATCCAGTAAATGTTCTTCTTAATCCCATAATTAATGAAGTATTACTGTAGTATCAGTGTAAAATCCTGTCGAGCCTCAAGATTATTTTCTTGGGATGTAAATACTTTGTAGCACTGCAACTAGAATATCTAACATACCTAAGCTACATAATAGCATATATATACACATTTATATTTCTGCTATGTTTTGTGTATAAAAACAAAAGAATAACATTTTAAAGTTGTTATACAGGAGTTCTATAATCTGTTTAACCTGCAATGTGTTTAGTCACTCTAAAAATAAAGGTTATGTATATTTATGTACAACAACCTCTTCATTCTTCTTTACTTTTATAGCATGGGCAGAGAGAGACTCAAATAATTTTTCATGATTTAGAGCGGGTAGAAGCCTATTTAGCCCATTTTAAGTAAAGCCTATTTAGCACTATTTTAAGTAAATGTGTGTGCTGCTGAGTGTGTCCAGAATGAAAAATCCTGTATTTAATTATTTTTAAAACATACCCTTTTGCTCTGCTTCTTGGCAAGTGCAAGTGTCAGCCCATTAATAATATTTTGTGTTGAACAACAATCACCTGACAATTGTCTAGATGAAAAATTTGGGTGTGAAGTCTTTGATAGATCTGTGCTGCTTAACTTTCCACCCTTGACCATATCCTTTGCATTATGTACCCTCTGTATCTCTTAAAGTTAGTCTCACAAGAGATTAATGGACAGTTTCTCAGTTCTGAATGAAACATTAAGATGAAAACAGTAGTGCTGCTTCCGTCAAACTGAAAGGTTTACATTACTCTCTCAATCTATTATACATTAGTCTCACTTATATCACTTATTCTGTACATAAACACTAAACTCGCACTTACAGGAATGTTAAAATAACAGCTTTGCATTTAATACCACAATTAGCATAACAGTTGTGAATTATCCCAGACTTCATTATCATTCATTCTGTTGAACAACAAGACAACCCTATTTCCATTACTGTCTGTAATTAATTTTTTTCAAGTTGTCTTATACAGCTTCAAGTAAGTAACAATATCAAAAGAGTCACAATTCTCTTGAAACTTAGATTTCAGGTCTGACTGTTGGATTCAGATTTTATCATGGCACTAATGAAAACAATTTAAGAGATGTTGCTGAGTAGAGGGAGTACATGTTGCTGTCATACTTACAAAGTTCCAAACTCTGCGTCACTACTGATGAATTCTTCCAACATACTTGTATCCACCATGGGATTCTCCAAGGTGCCATGGACATCTTGCCCTAAAATTAAAAATGTCAAAAAGACAGAAGTTACGAGAGTAGAACTTGGAGGCAATCATCAGTACTTCAGACTGAGTAATGCTGCCTGCTCTCCCGCACAAAGGAAAACCAAATCCATCCTCTCTTGTGTGTAACAGGTGGGTTACGCTTCTGGTTTAGTCAGTCTGGGAGAAAGGGTGACAGGAAATGCAGAGTAAAGGGGGATGCGCGGGGGAAGATGAAGGTGACACAGCAGCACCAGGCAAACCCCAGTCCATGCATGGCATTAAGGCTTCACCGAATCGCCACAGCAGGGGGGTGAAGGGCCCCAGTCTGCAACTGGAAAAAGGAGTTTTGAAGTTAACTTCATCCTTTTTTATATTGGGATCGAAACAGGTGGTTTCGTCAAAGCTCAAACATTGTCACACACAAATCTGCTTTCTGCATTAGTACTGCAAGTGAGTTTCTAAAACACACAATTTAAAAATCCACCATCCTGAGCTTAAAGCAAGCAAAAATCAAGCTTTAAAAATCTTTGGTGACTTCCTTTTATTCTTCCTGAAAAAAACAACCCAGTAACTTGTTAAATGTATTAGTGAATAGAAAGGTTCAGTACTTTGTCCTTTGTTGCTTGGTAACTGAAGGCTATAAACAGATTTTATGATTATAAGGTCTCTGGAATTCATGACAACTTTTGTAGAAAGTCAGCCGGAACTCTCTCTAAAAAAACCCAAAC